ATAGCCACACCTATTCCTCAAGAGTCCACACTCTTGTCATTTTCTTGTCACCTTACTCATTGTAGTTATAACCAGAGGCAGCCCACTAAAGCATCCATCCCTATCAAGCTCTATTCCTCCCAAGAGTAGTTCCACACTAGAGATTGTTTGTTTGTACTAGAGTACCTAGGTACCTGTTGAATTTTTTCAGAAAATAGGTACCAAGTACCTCACCTGGTACCTCCCAGCGGGTACAGGTGGTACTTTTGGCGGGTACCACAGGTACCTCCCCTCTCTTTCTCACCTAGTTCCACTCCCAGAGTCCCAAGTCTCTTTTTTTCATTTTTAGTCACTTTTTCACTTTTTTCATATTTATTGTTTTCAGTGTTCACTGTATTGCTTTCTTTTACTTGATTTAGAGATACATGGTTTTCATCAGACCCATTTATACTAAAAAATAATCATACAAATTCTAATAATAATACTAATAATCATAATCATAGAGTTACTTGGTCTTCATCACAGAATACATAAGAAATCAATCGTGCAGTTTCCAAATAGCTGGGGTGATCCAATTGTACATCTTTTCTTCCTTCTTGACAACTATTCACGTTCCTTCTGATGATTTGAGTTGGCATGGGAGTTGATTATAAGCAGGGCAGTGTCAAACTATATGTGTTGCCTAAATCAACAAGATCAATCTGGAAGACTTCCCGTAAAATCTACACCCCATGAGCACTTCCTGCCCCGCGGGATTGTGGAACCAACAAAACTTGGCCAATCCGTGGAACCAACAAGATCAGCTCTGTAAGTCTTTGGTAAGGGCAGATTTTGTTTTTGGTTCCACGAACGGGGGTTGATAAGTGCAAGCCAACCCCCCACGCGCACGCCAACTGCATATTGGCATGCGCGCCTGCACACCATTGCAGAATGGCGTGCAGGCAGGCAAGCCATTTGCCTGCAGGTTGGCGTGCCTTTCTGCACGCCCAACTTTAGGTCCTAAACGCATATTTATATGTGTTTAGGACCTGGGCTGTCCCATAGGACCCAGGCATGGGTCCTATGGGACTCTTTTTTTTTCTTTTTTTTTCCCTCGGCCTAGAGAGG